GATAAATAAATGTGCTTGCATAGTAAAATACTAAAACATTAAAGATTTTATTGCTACACTGAAGATAAAAATGTTTAAAATTTAAAATTAAGATTTCTAAAAATACATTTTTTTAATCGGAATTTTTTCTACAGATAGGCAGACCATTTATCTATAATTCGTTCGTATATCTCAAGATGGACACTTTTAAAGAAAAAAAAAGTTATTTAACAAAAACTTTTTCGTGTCGCACTGAATAAAATCAATGATTTTTTTTAATGTAGACATGAAAAATATTGTGACTCATGTAAAACCTACCACTCAACCGGATTTCACTCAACAAGCTCCAAATGAAAGGTACACCAAAAAAAGATATTGAAGACGTATTCAATCCTAATGTGAATGATATAGAAAATTCAATTTTAATGTTATGTTTAATTGGCAGAGTATGAAAAAATTGTGTTCTTATTACATAAATTTTAATTTTATCTTATTTAGAAAATAACTTATATATATATTATTTCTTAACATTGTCAAACAAAGTAAATTTTTTTGATGCTCCGTTGAATTAGAATATTTTTTAGCTGCAATTTTTTTGTCGGCATTAGGCTGAAAACTGTGAAATTTTTGTGTACCAGATATCGTCTTTGCGTGGTGAAACAAATCTTCTAGTTCTTCTGACATTTTTTCGTATTGCTCAGTAGATATATAACAGAAATTCAATTTTGTGATGCTTTTCTCTGTTTGTTTAACTGCCCAGTCGTAGAGCTCTCGTGGGGTTGTATTAGTATTTCCGTATTGTTGGGCAAGGCTTGCTTTTTTGCCATTCGTTTTAAACTTCCACCAATAGCATCACAGGGACCTTTGCTATGAGATGTTGCAAAGAAATGCCAATCTGCTTCCAATTTGTGCATTGATTTGAAGTTACATAGACTGGCAAAAAAAAATTCTGTTCTTATAATGAGCAGCTGCTCCATCTGACATAAATGTAATTTTGGAGAAATATGTTGATAGTTTCAAGAATTCTATCAGTTTTGAAATGAAAATTGAACTGCTATTGTATCATGGGCCAATACCTCTGATATTATTATAAAACTATCGTTTTCTATTTTACTGTCCTTCATATAATAAACCACAAAAGGATGAATAGTTGCCTGAGCGTTATTCCAATGGTAACCCTGAGCAGCGTTCTGAATAATAAATGAATAGTTCTCAGAGAAATCGCAAATTACAATTAATTCATCTTCTTTTAGAGATTTTTTTTCCTTAGAAATAAAGACTGTTCTTTACAAACAAAGTCATGAGTGATTAACTTATCAATTTTATCTAAGAAGTACGTGGCAAACTCATCTGCAGGTTTCATAATGTTCTTCAAGTTACAACGATCCGTAGTTAGCCACTGTTGAAAAATTACATCTTCTTTACCACTTTCTTCTAATAGTGCAGTAAGTTCGTATGCAACTTCTTCATTGGTGGCACATTTCTTGCAAGCTCGAAAATAACACTCTGTCGTCCTGATAGAAAAATTACAAAGCAGTTTATTCCTGGGATACGATTCCTAAACTATTTAGCATTAATTTTACATTTTCGTGGATTGTGCACACACATACATTATGAGTACCTTTACTATCAAGTAGCTTACAATGTTTAGGTCTCAACGTTGTAAATAAGGTGAAGCCAATTATAATACTCGCATACGTTTCTTCAAATATTGTATATGCCTCTTTGAGAGACATCATAAGAAGTCGCTTCTGAACCCGTTCTTTTAGGCCATTTCGGAGTTCAGACACGTAATTGTTAATTCCAGGCATTGTCCTGCTTATATCATTACTATCAAAAAAATCTATAACAGTCTTTTTGTCTAATTCACTGATTCCGTGTCTACTTCGTGCACTAGTGGTACAAAGAATACCTTGATCTTTCACTATTTATTTCATTTGTCTTACCATATATACCGTTGCATTGAACTCTTCTACGATTTTATTTATTGACCAAGAGTGCGTTAACAATTATAAAACTTTTATCTGCTAATTTCTATCATCAGGAGATGAATTAAACTTATTTTTTAATTGTGTTACCATTTCGTCGAATGCTTCTGCTTTACTGATGTTTGTTGGATCCATATTAAAAATTTTTTTGCACATAGATTGCATTTTTGAATTAATGCTGGTGTTAAGTAACATAGTTTGTTTCAGTTGAACTTGGGATTCGAAATACCAACACTGCATTTAAAAGCACTTAAGGCATCCATTAGAATAATTGTTATTAAACGTTACAGTAATTTATTTTCTCACTACATTGAATAGGGTCGTATCTATATCTTCACTTAAATAGCAAATAATGTATACCTACAGACAGGCATGTTGGCGTACCTACAACGTACCTTTTTTGTACCTACATCTTACACGGGAAATAATATATATTTTCTGGTATATTTTGTGACATTGAAACTAGTTTTCTCACTCGTTAAAAATATCTTGTTTGCGATTTATGTGATTTTTTTTTACTTTGAATGATCTATATTTCTTGAATTTGTGTGGTTTACATGTATAACTTATCAAGTGACACAGATGCGTCTTTTCAACTTTAGTTCCTTTGAAATTTCAATTATTATTAATTACAGTTCCTAGTCCTATCAGGCCTGCTTTAAGAATGACCACCTTGGTGGGATTGGTTTGTTTTAAATTTGAAAAAGGAGACTACTTATAACTACTATTTACAACTACAACTAACCTACAACTACTATATACACCTATATTATATGTGATTTGATATATCGACACCCATATTTACCATAACATGTTCCGTCCATATCTCCGAAACTAGTTGACCCTTCCTTAATATTCAAAAGCTTTATAAAAGATCATTTTATTTTTCATTTGGAGTTTAACTCAATCTGATTTAGTGGTAGACGTGAAACACGTCTTTCAAAATTTTTAAATTTGTCGTTCTCACCCTGAAAAAAAAATCATAGATTTTATTCAGTGCGAACACGAAAAAGTTTTTGTTGAATAACTTTTTTCCTTTAAATGTGCCCATCTTGCGATGTATCAACGAGTTGTAGATAAATGCTATGTCTATCTTTAGAAAAAGTTTCAGATTAAAAAAAATGGTATTTTTGGGAAATCTAATTTTTAAGTTTTAAAAATTATTTTTTTCAGTGTAGAATTTTTTTTTTACAATTACACATTCTCTGCAAATCATCCTTTGGCAACATTTTTGTAGGACTTGACATTAAAGAGTTATATTTTTTGGAAGAAAATGATCACAAAAAAGTTCTGCCTTTTCCAAATGTTGGTCTAGATTTTTTTTTAAAGAAAATAAGTATGCAAGTTGCTTCAATATAAGTTGCTTAAATTATAAGAAATCTATACACTTACAAAGTTTCATTGACATCTGAGAGGGTGCTGCCAACCATTTGTCGAGTTAACGTGAAATTTGTCGAATGTCGATTTCGGTTCGCGAGAAAATGGCCTTACAAGCTTTGTTTACAAAATGGAGTTGAGGCCTTTTCAATTGTTAATCTTGACTTCATCACAATGGCAAACTTCGATTCGCTGAAAGTAATTTGAAATTGAAATTTGGTTAAGGACAAGGTTTCATTCGCGTGATTAGTAGACTTATGTCCAACTTGCTAGATGCTCATCTCAATAGAATAAACCTCGTGGACAGTAACATCTGTCGGTGTGGAAACGGTTACGATGACATCGATCACGCAGTTTGGCAATGTACGGATAATGACGCCGCCAGAGAGCGACTTTTGAATACCCTCGAGGCCCAAGGAAGACAACCCTATATCCCTATCAGAGACGTGTTGGGTACCCGCGATCTCTGCTGTATGCAGTCGATTTATGTGTTTCTGCAAATGTCTAGTATAAGAATTTAATTCGTTTGTCTTTTGTATCTCTTTATTAGTTTTTGTTTGTCTTGTCCCCCGTCTCGATGAGCCTCATCGTCGCCCACTGGTCACCATAGCCGGTCGAACTCCAGACGAATCTAGAACCACACTACCGTTCACACTGGCGACAACGCTCTGATGAGGCAACGATACCCTACTCCCAAGCTTTCCTATCCTTCGACAATGTACCCCTCTAACCTCGAGTAAGCCGCGAGTATCCGGCCCAACTCCTACTAGACATAGAATTAAGTGAATTTTGTTACAAACAAAGAACAATGAACTATCGGCTCCGTAAAGCTAACGCGATTTAGCCTTACAAATAAACGAACTAGATAAAAAAAAGGACAAGGTTCACGGAATCCATCCTCTTCGCGTTTTCACTTGTACTAATCTCGGTATCCAGAAGTCATACAGATTAAACGTGATGCTTGTTTCTCTCTCATTTTGAACTTTGCACATCAAGTAGATCGCCAGATGTGGACCCGTGAAAATACGTAGTGGTAAAGCTAATTATTTGGAGAAAGGATTCCATCAAACGTGTCCTTAAATAGCTTTTGAAATGAGGGTCAAAGTTTTATTGAAGTTGTTGAAAGTTTGATAAAAATATCGTAATCAGTAATACATTCTAAGTGTGTACAGTATAAATTAACGCTAAACCCAGTGTTCCCTACGTGTCCTTCGGTCACTCAATCACCCTTGTAGTGACGTAATAACGTTTGTTTCGATCGGCGCTTGCATAGGAAATTTAATATGGATTTTATAATTTATGTATGCTACCAAAATTTATGAATGGTCTGCCACTTAATGTTAAGATAATTTATTGGTTATTGAATTATCACACTGTATACCATGAAAAAGCAGCCTGTTTGTGAGTTTTTGCCTGTTTTCAAGTAAGGAGTTATCTAAAAAAAATTAAATCGCCAGCTGATATTTCCCGGTGACTTTACAAAACAATACAAGCAAGCAAAATCATCATACAAAAATAGCTAGCATTTGTTTTCCTTCTTATTTCGCAAAATTGCTTTCCAGTGTTATGACGTCGTCACCATGATCTCCCACAAAGTTTACATTTTTCCCTCTGCCAACACATACGTCAGGGGCTAGATCTCCACACCTTGTATAGACCAGGTTGTCTCGAAGCATCTCGAACTTATTACTTTACAACCATCTTTCCTTTGCTTTTCAGAAATTTCGCTTCTGTGGAGAGGGTGATTGTCCAGATTGGGTTCTTGCCGAAATTCATTCCAATTTGGCAATACTCAGTTCGGATCAGCTAAAAGAGGTCGCTCACCATGTAGCAAAATGTATCGTCGGAGAAGAGGTTCCGGTAAATTAAGCTTTATTCATTAGTCGATAAAATTATAATGAAATTGTTCTCCATTTATTTTCAACTGTAGGAAGACAAAGTTCGTGCTATTTTTGGCGTCACGAAAGGATCGATGGACACCCCAAAGGCGGCTTTTGCTTGCATCCGTTTTCTGTTGGTAAGTGCTGCTCGTTTTAATACTGAAAGTTCCGTATTTTGCACTGAGCTTCAACAGTTGGGCTTACCCAAGGATCACACTACGGTTATGTGTCAAGTGCTAGAGGATTATGTCAGCCAGATTCGTTCCACGCTGCGTCAGTCTAGTCTGACGATAAATGAATTAGAAAGTGTAACGAGTACTATACCGGAAAATACAATTGATTGCGTTCAGCTTCAGTTTGGAATCAAAAATGAAATTATAAATGGGGTTCCCCAGCGAACCACCCACGCAGTCAATGTTAATCGTAGTGACATTCCCATTCTACTCAAAGAACTGAAATCAATCAAGTCCATAATTGATGGGTATGACTATGAATCTAAACATAATGAAATGAAATAATGTTGCCTATAAATTTGAATCTTTTTTCAATTAGTATCAATCAATAACGGTCATTACATCATGCAAACGAAATATTCTAGACTTTATGAAATATACCGAAAGCCTTATCAGTACGTGTAAATTGCTTTTATTGGTTTGAATTATAATCGATATTTTAAAATACAAACTACTGTCCGCCCCTTCACTCCTCGCGGAATGGATCCATCGTGTGGTTCACTTTCCTGTAGATCCGCTTCAAATAGAGACAAAGAACATGATCGGCCCACGTGCCAAATTCGATATAGTACTTCAAGCTGCGTCTATAGAAATCCAACTTCAGGAGACCGGCTTTCATCTAGAATAATTTACCGAATCGATTGTTGCTGCACGACCCAGCGGAATTTACCTTTGCTTACCTCGCAGTATCGGACATTGTTCAATCTAGCGGGGGTGTGATGGACCGTGTAGTAGTGTCGGAATAGCTGGGAGGATTTTTCAAACAATATCTGAAACGTAAGAATTGAATTGAATAAATTGAAGATCTCAGATTGATTTGTTGTGGTAAATACAGATATTTAATGGGGCACATCTTTCCCCACTGTCTTAGTAGCTGAGATGGACCTCCTTATTCCGGTATGATGTAGAATCGAATGCAAGTACATATTGCAGTCCATCAATATGAAAAATATTCAAATTCGTTTCGAATTATTCTATTTATGAAGGGATGTAAAGAAAATGTAAGCAACATTTTTTCCACAGCATCAAAATCATTTCTCTAAAATTTTCGAGGCTTTATAAACGTATACAAACAATGAAAGAGTCACGATAGGGTTTTACACAAAACGCAGTTTGTCAGCGCTTGCTGCCAACTTATGGCAATGAAACGAATATTGCGATTATCGCAGTGCTGCCAACATGGAAGAATAATTACTCCGCATCCCCCAGCCTAGCAGCTTTTTGCTCAGTTCTCGCATCTTACTCTGAGTCCGTCCGAAGATGGTGAAAAACATTTACAAAATTCCGTTTCTCAATCTACACTGAACCAAAACATCCGCAATACTTCGAATGATTATTGCATTGATCGAGCCCTTTAACAATATGCATTCGAATTTCGGATGATTTTCTTATGGTTGAATTCGTCGTCAGATGATGAACATCCATATGACTGTCATCCAAATACAGGATGATTTTCGTTTGAAATTTAGCTATAAAACATATGGCACTTAGAGGACAAACATTTAAGAATAGTGTGACATGCAAGTGCTTTTAATTAGATTTATAATTTGATTATCTACAATTCCATACTGAATAGCCATAATAAGTCATTCCATTATGGATACAAAAAAATTTCGTGGTGGAGAAAACGTCATCGACCACGAATTAGCCAAGCATGGGTTTCCATCCTTTACCTATGTTCGTAACAGTTCTGATAGCAATGCATATGCTTCCACCTCGTTTGTCAGCTCAGATCAGCATTACAGCAGAGAGCATTACGCATTTCAACTGAAGGCCCTATCCCTTATCATAACAAGTTTCATTCTGTATTCGAGAGGAACATCATCTGATTTCAAAACAACCGTCATCCGGTTGTAGCTATCATTCGAAAAAGCGATTTCGGTGTTTTGTTTTGAATGGTCTGAGATTTCATTCGATCAGAGGATGATGTTTATGTACAGTGTATGGGTCGTGACCGACTGGTGCGTTCGGACTGCCCTCCGGTGGGAACGCAGAAAATCACATGTTTTCTGTATTTATAATTATGATAATACAAATTGAGCGGCAATAACAATAATTTAAATAACATTTTAAACCCAGTTTGTATAATTAGGCGTTTTAATGATCATTATGAGAGTCGAGTTTCGAACGCCTTTGGATACGGTTGTGTGTTAAGTTTGTTCTCTGTTTTGTGCGTGCATTCGCTTTCATAGTTTTCGGCTGCATTTGCTGGATTAGCGCTGGCACTCTGCCTCCAGGACGGTTATACGTGTGTGAGTGGTGGTTTTCTCGCTTTCCGAGAAGTTTTAGAATCGAGAAAGAAAACATGATTCGTCATGTTTGCAAAAGGATGACGCGAAAGAGCTCGGCACGGTCGGTGTTGATGTTGGTTTGCTTTCAACTATTTTCGCAAAAATGACGTGTTTTCGACCGAAATTCATATCGAAAGTGTAGCAAAAGTGCTTCCGAACGTGTTTCGAAGTTTGTGTATTCCCGGTTGAAGTTTGTGTATTCCCGGTTGATTTCCGGTGGAAATTCAGTGCTACAAAATTGCTCACCGAGTTCTTTTTTTTCCGTTCGACGACGACGGGTTTCCTTTCGCGAGAGTGACGCTTCTTGGATTCGTTTCTTTGCACGGGTGTGTTTTTTGTAAGCAGCGGTGTGTTAGTGTGCTGGGTTGGAGATCAACCACACACCAAAGAGGCACGAGAAGATTCCCGGAGTGTCGAAACACAACAGTGCAGTGATAAAAGCTTATGCTTGTGTGCGTGTGGGGGTGAGCGAAACAGCTCGAAATCGTGTTCAGTCCGCATCGTGCTCTCTTGCCGTGCGGATCTATTTGCTTTTTGCTGAAGGAAGTGTTACTACTACCTAAAGCTACAACAAATTTTAACAGCACTTTTCAGTGCTCAACCTGTAAAAATTTTCTACCTTGTTCAACTCTTATTCCTCTTCGATCCTTGTTTGGACCCTACCCGAGGTAATCCTTCTTGGATATCGATTTGGAAAATTCCTCTTCGATCCTTCAGATTCTTATAGTAATCTGCTTGGAAGTCGATTTGGATAAAAATTTACTGCCGCCATGGCGCCTAAACGCAAAAGAAAGGGGCAAACTCTTGACCCCCCTTCTGATGAAATTAATTTGAGTAATCAATTTGATTTGCTCACGGATGATGAGAATGATCCATCATCCAAGAAAAATTCTAGTAAACTTTCCCGGCTTAATGCCAAGAAGGAAAAGATTCCCCCTATTGTGATAACCACTACCGATTTCCATGCTCTTCGCATGGAACTTTTGAATTTCGTGAAAGTTAAGTTTTCACTACAAATTGGACGTCGGGGTGAATGCCGTGTATTGGCTGAAACCTTGGACGGATTTAAATGTCTTCTCAAGTATCTTACTGAGAAGAAGCACAATTTTTTTACTTACGACACCAAAACTGAACGTGTGTTCAAGGTTGTCATGAAAGGACTGCCCAGTGGTGAATCCCTGGATCAGATCAAAGATGAACTGGCAAAATTACTTGGAGTTGTGCCACTCCAAGTAATCAAAATGAAAATGAAATCCCGTCCTGGCGATTCGCGCTACGGGATTTCTAATGATTTTTATTTAGTTCACTTCAAGTCTAGTGAACTAAACAACCTTAAGGCCTTAGAAAAAGCTAGCCTTATGCTCCATGTCCGAGTGAAGTGGGAACACTTCAGGAAGACTGGAGGAAATTTCCAAAACCTCACCCAGTGCCGTAAGTGCCAGGGATGGGGTCACGGAACTAAAAATTGCTACATGCCAGCTAAATGCATGAATTGTGGTGATTCCTCTCACGCAAAGGACGACTGTCCTGTGAAGGAAGATCCTAAGAAATTTAAATGTTCAAATTGTGGTGAAAACCACAAATCCAATTTTTGGGAATGTAAGACTCGCAAAGCGATCCTACAATCTCGTTCTAACCGTCAGGTAGGAAACGCTCCACGTTTCCGACCAGGTACAAATTCCTCTGCTGTTAACAACGGTCAGCGAGGAACAAATTCTACATTCGTACCCGTAGGTACAAATATCTCCCCTGCTTCAAATGTTTCATCTGTACCTACTCCCCTAGCTGCTAACAATGTTCAGCGAGTTAATGGAGCTACCTATGCTGCTATTGCAGCGGGTAGAAATCAAAATACTAACCAACGTTCTAATGGAAATTTTGACAATTTTGACTTAGGAAGCATTACTGCCCCCAAAATGGAATTTTTACAGAATTCATTAATTGACATGATTTCTGATATGCTTAAATCTAACTCCATGTTTGATGCTATTCAAACTGGAGTAAAATTTGCAAATAATATTGTCATGACTTTAAAATTCAGTAATGGATTTTAAAGCATTAAATATTGTAAATTGGAATGCTCGATCTCTTAAAGATAATGAAGACGAGCTATTTAACTTTTTAAGAGTTCATAACGTGCATATTGCCGTTATAACTGAAACGTTCCTTAAACCTGCCCATAAGGTTAAGAAGGACGCAAACTACTTGATTTATAGAAATGATCGTCTTGATGGACCCTGTGGTGGCGTTGCCATCATTATTCATAGACGAATCAAACATAAAATTCTTTCTTCATTTGAAACCAAAGTTTTTGAAACTTTGGGGGTTTCTGTTGAAACAAAATTTGGACAACTTACGTTTATAGCTGCCTATTTGCCATTCCAATGCGTAGGCCAGCAAAAGAATTTTCTCAAGGGTGACCTCCAGAAACTTACCCGTCATAGGTCTAAATTCTTCATTATTGGTGATTTTAATGCAAAACACCGCTCATGGAATAATGCTCAAAGCAATTCCAATGGTAATATTCTGTTTGATGATTGTTCTGCAGGTTATTACACTATTCAATATCCAAACAGCCCAACATGCTTTTCTTCTGCAAGAAATCCCTCCACTATTGATTTGGTCTTAACTGATTCATGTCAACTTTGTAGCCAATTGGTAACCCATGCTGACTTCGGTTCTGATCACCTTCCAGTAACTTTTGAAATATCCCAAGAAATAATTTGTAATCCCAACAGCTCTACTTTCAATTACCATAGAGCTGATTGGGAGCAGTATCGAACATTTATGGAATATAACTTCGATCCAAACATGCCTTTGCAAACCAAAGATGAAATTAATTATGCTCTTGAATCTCTGACTACTTCTATAGTTGAAGCAAGAGCTGCCTCAGTACCAAAATGCGAGGTTAAATTCGATTCAATTATAATAGACGATGATCTTCAGCTCTTGATCCGTCTTAAAAATGTCCGTAGGAGACAATATCAAAGAACACGCGATCCTGCCATGAAAGTTATCTGGCGGGATTTGCAAAAACAAATTAAAAAGCGATTCTCTGCCCTGAGGAACAAAACTTTTGAAAATAATATTTCTAAATTAGACCCGAGTTCCAAACCCTTTTGGAAACTCACAAAAATTTTGAAAAAACCTCAAAAGCCTATTCCAGCGCTTAAAGAAGGTGGTAAAATTTTGATCACAAATTTGGAAAAAGCTCAGAAACTTGCTAAGCAATTCGAGAGTTCCCATAATTTCAGTTTGGGTCTTACTAGTCCTATTGAGAATCAGGTTGCTCGGGATTTTCTGAATATTTTCTCTCGGGAAAATATTTTTGATGATTCCTGGGGGACTGATTTGGACGAAGTAAGGTCTATAACTAAAAATTTTCAAAATATGAAAGCTCCAGGTGATGATGGAATTTTCTATATCCTCATCAAAAAACTCCCAGAGAGTACCTTGTCTTTCTTGGTAAAATTATTTAA